GAGCGCAACAGCAACAACTTAAGATCGATGTGTGAGCAGCCTGAGAGGTCGGGTGTTTTCATCTGAACGACATGTCTCGGAGAAAGCGTAAAAACACGTTGGACGCTTCTTCTGAAGTGGGAAAATAACACCTCTTCTTAAGCAGAGCACGACGTCGCCTCGACTCGTTCACGGCCGAGCCGGTACCAGACTGGGCTCGATAACTGACCCAGCACAGCCACTGGGTCGTTGGAGCTGCCCCGTGACTGCCTGATGGAAAACCAGCGGGTTTCATCAGACTCATAGTTTGTTGTTTTTGCTGGGGACCCCCTGTATTTTACCGCTCCCTCCTGCAGTCTTCCCCTATTAACATTTCAAATGATTCTGTAAATCCGTGTATCAATAGAAACAATCTCTGCCTCTGCCAGCTGCAGTAAATGTAGTCTCCAAATAATAAATAAGAGGTGCATTCATCTGTGGATCTCCTTTGATCCACATTAGTGATATTCTCGGCACCAGAACAGTGAAGCAAAGAAAGATTCCTGAGTTTGTTAGTAATTTTATTTATTAGGTGCATCTAACCTGTTCTATTCTTCTCTGAAATGAGATCAAATCAGTGCTTCTATGGGTTGGCTCCACTCTGCACTAGAAAATTTTACTTTATTTAGAGACGTGTCATAATTTCTCCCCAAGCCCCCCCACCACCACCACAGCTGGAAACATTCCTAGGGGAAACACTGCCATTGTAAAAATAAGATGTTGAAAAAGCAGATAACTATCTAAAAAGCTCCTCTCATCAATAAACGCGCGATAGAGTCAGTGCTGCAGGTAAACACTCCCTCGTGCGTCCTGCGCTCGTGAGTAAAACGTGACTATTACGTGCACATGGCAAAGGCATGTTACGTGTGGGGATTTCTGAGGATCCCATTGGACGATTTGCGTGGTTCAAATTGTGTGGTGCTGCGTTTCATTGTGTCCAGATTAAAACAAAAAGACCATGAGCTCCCCAAGGCGTAAGCCAATCTTCTGGGTAAGATGGTGTCGTGGACTTCTAACTCGCCTGTAGGGAGCAAAACATGGCAAACACAGTCAGGAATTAGGTTGTTTTGATGGTGGGAAAATGGATTACACGAATCGAGTGGACTTTTTTACCGGAACATGGATTATGATCACAAATCAGCAAAGGTAAGACAGACTTTATGCTGCTGACTGCCGATAAAGAGCTGTGTTGTTCTCTGTTGGATCGCAGCTGGCTTTGTGAGTTTTTATGGTACAGAAATGCGACTTATGTTGGTTGAAAGAAGAGAATCGTGGCTTTATATTGAGTGGCTGGTTTTCTGGATAGGATCGTATTTTATTGTGGCTACTGTGTGTTTTCCTCAGGCTTTGCTTGATATGTGAAGAACAGGGGGAGGAGAGTAGGTCTGCTCTGTGGAGGGGGGCGGGGTTTGCAGCTCTTTCCCCACATTTAAAGAGACAGTACCATATGGTGGTGGATCCTCGCAGACGCCGGCCTGCTGTCCCCGCACCGGTGAACATCCAGGGAACGGACATCGAGAGAGTGGACTCCTATAAATACCTGGGTGTTCACCTGAACAACAAACTGGACTGGTCTCACAACACAGACGCACTGTATAGGAAGGGCTAGAGCAGGCTCCACCTCCTGAGGAGACTACGATCTTTTGGGGTGACGGGGGCACTCCTGAAGACCTTCTACGACTCTGTGGTGGCATCAGCAATCCTGGATGGTGTGGTGTGTTGGAGTAGCAGCATTACAAAGAGGGAGATAAAGAAGCTGGACAGGCTGATAATGAAGTCCAGCTCTGTCCTCTGAACTCAGTACGAGAGGTGGGGGACAAGAGGGTGCTGGCAAAACTCAGATCCATCCTGGACCATGAGTCACACCCCCTGCAGGACGCCTTGTCTGCTCTGGAGAGCAGCTTCAGTAACAGACTGGTCCACTCTCGCTGTTACTCTATAAGTCACTGCTAAAAGAAGCCATACATCTGTAACCTTCCACTGCAAATATCATCTTTACAAAACATGTGCAGTATAACTACTACTCTCATTACCATGTGCAATAATTATCTTAACTTATTATTACTATGTACTCTTGTGTGCTATCTGTGCTACTGCTGCTATCCTGCTGTACCTGAGCCATCGCAATATTGCAATTTCCCCACTGAGGGACTAATAAAGGTATTCTTATTCTTATACCCAAACACAGCTCATCCTCAGTCTCCTCAGAACAGGGTAGATGAGGGTCTGTAGAGCAGCAATAATGAGTAAATGAGACCCAAGAACTGCAGCTCCACTGTGTTTTGACCCCAACTGAATGATTTAGATGTAAAAAGGAATAATTTGAAATCATGATATGTCTCCTTTAATACTGTTCTTTAAACTAAACTGATATATACCACATAGACGTTTCATGTAGGTGTGTTTCCATTCTCTTATATCCATAGATGCAGAACGAAGAAACCTGGCTGTCTGTGGGGCTGCTGAAGCAGAGGTGGAGGCAATGATGAAGTCATGGCTCCAGCTGGCAGCAGACCATGAGGGAAGGAGAAAGAAGGCTCCTTGCTACAGAAAGTACCTCTTAAGCTCACTTTTTTGGTGCGTTTCAGTAACACATACGCATATTTTTGTTCTACATTTTGTTAAAGGTTAGTGTTCTCATGTGTTGAGTTCAATGCATTAACTTGCTTGTGTTGTATTTTTTATTTGTAACATACAAAGATTTTCATGCAAATTAGAACATCTGTGATTTTTTTTAGCCTTTTATTGTGTTAGTTTTACAGTGTGTGGGCCAACGCTGGCCTGGTGACACTCAGCCAGCTCACAGTTTCAGCACATGGGCCGGTATTGGGCCAGGGGTTGAGCCAGCTCCCAGCACTCACCTGTACTGGCTCACTGAGTGTGGGCCAGAACTGGACCAGTATAATCAATAAGAGTTCTGTATAGGCCAGAACTGGGCCAAACTTGTCACTGACATGGGCGACGCCTCGCCTGAAAAACAGATGAGAGCAGACGAACGCAGCAGGGGGAATGGCTAAAGCCGGCATTTAAGTCAGACAGGGTTCCCTACATGCCGCTTGTGGGTAACAATGGCTGAAGATATCGCGTTCATACTAGCGTACACGTCTAGTGCCTGTTAGCAACTGAAACATCCTCACATGCTTGTGGATATCATATACTGTATTGTATATGAAGACATGACTGTAATAATAAGTAAAGGTTATCAGCTTTGGGGCAGCAGTAGCTCAGGTGGTAGAGAGGGTTGCCTCATGATCAGAGGGTCAAGGGTTCGATTCCAGCTCCCGCCAGGGGTATCCTGCTGTTGTGACCTTGGGCAAGGCACTTCACCCAACTTGCCTGTGTTGGTGGTGGTCAGAGGGGCCGACGGCGCCAAATGTCAGCCTCGCCTCTGTCAGACCTCCCCAGGGCGGCTGTGGCTACATGTAGCTTACCATCACTGGCAGTGTGTGAATGTGAGAGTGTGTGAAAGCGTCTTTGGGTGTCTAGAAAAGCGCTATCCAAGTTCAATGCATTGCATTAGCTGTAGTTTTAGTGTGCTCACAGGAAACGTGACAAACACAAACCACATTTCTCTTTAAAGAGTAAGTCACCCCCAAATCTACTATTTTTCTGATAAACTATAAATGTGTGTCTAATCATGCTGCAGACACAAGTAGTCAATATTTTTGCACTTTAGTGCATTTTAGTGAAAATTTTAATTATCTGCTTAAAACTGGCAGTGTTGTGCCGTTGTCAGGAAAAAACTCTGCATTTGAATTTAAATCTGCCATCGCTATTGGCTAAGAGGTACCCTAGAACGTTAGCTGGTACCATATGATGTCACAATGTCATTGTGAGCCTGTCTGTGTGCGTGTGTATTTGTTAGCAGCCCCCCCCCCCCCCCCGGTCTGCTAGGCAACAACATTTGTTGCATTTTTCAAACAGGAAGTGAGAGCAGAGTAATAAGGGAAGGCTTACTCATCATAGCATACCTCTTAGCCAATAGCGGTGGCAGATTTAAATTAGAACACAGTGCAGAGTTTTTTCCTGACAACGGCACAACACTGCCAGTTTTAGGCAGAATATTTAAGTTTTAACTAAGATGCACTGGAGTGCCAAATTGTTGATTACACGTGTCTGCAGCACGATTAGACACTCGTTTATTTAGTTTATCAGCAAAAAAAAGTTTATTTGGGGGTGACTTGCTCTTTAAAGCCTATATAGTTGTCATCATCAATGTAACACGATTTACAGAATACATGTGACCAACTAACTTTTCATGTTCTACTACCGGATGTTTGGATCAGAATGGGAACCAATCAGATCTTAGATCAGGTGAGACCCAGGTGTTTCCAATCAGGCCCTTGGTTTAGCAGCAGTGGAGAGCAACTGGAGCGCCTTGCTCCGAAATCTGTGGCCGCTTTGATCTCACGAGGTTATAGTTGCCTGCGTAGGCATGACGTCAGAGCGAGTCTGCGTCAAGTCAGACACAAATCTAACCGGCATGCACTGGGCGCCGATCCCCGCTGATCTAATCTGCGCAGAACTGGCTCATCTGGAACATGGCCACTGTTCTGTGGGTGGGCCAGGGCCCAGGGCCCTGCCACCAGTGGGCCAGTATCTAGGCATGGCTGTGGACCCCAGGTGGACATCAGGTGATGGGCTGGTTCAGGCTGGTTTTAGAACAGGGTGATTAGTGGTGGATTGTAGCTTTTTGAAAACCTTTGGTTGACTTTCTTTGTACATAGTGTTAATGTGTATTAATGCTCACACAGTAAATATAACACCATAGTGACTGGGCGGGTTTGTCTGCCAATGAGCGCGCGCTCTCCCCCGTGGAGTACACGCAGAAGAAGAAGTTGGGCTTTAGAGGGGACGTCCACCACGTCATAAAGCAGTTAACACAACATAGTCGGGTTTGTTCAAAGTAGACAAACCTGGGTCTGCTAGCGTTACACCAGTGGTGATCCAAACCCGGTTCGGTCGTAGGTTCTGGTACTTACCGGTGTCGATGGCCCAGCAGCGGAAAGCCGTGAAGCAGAGCAAAAGGAGGATGAGTTTGTCCGGTTCCATCATCCTGAGCCGTGTGCTGCCGCAGGACCGCTCCGAGAGCCGCTGGACTCGTTTGTGTCTGAACTTCAGCTCCCCATCACCTCCCCCTGGCTCGCTGGGGTCACGTGTCTGGTGTTGAGCCGAAATGCGCGTCCCCTGTGCGAACAACCGCAGATAGCGGAAGTAAACGATGAGACTGAGGCAAGACAAGCGTTTGTAATCCGTGTTCCTGCTGGAAACGTGTTGTTTTAGACTAGAACATGAAGAACATTTCTTTAATTTATCTGCCAGAAACCATCGGTTTGTGAGTGAGGAAGCACGCACATGATGACTGGTGATTGGAGGACGCACATGAGAGCACGCGCCTTCCCACAGCGGAGATGCACATTGCGGCACAACACCTGCTATCTCCATGACAACAGCCGGAGGGCAGGGAAGGAGAATGTGGATCAAGCCGACACCAGAAATCCACGCAAATAAGTGAAGTGGCTCGTGCTGCTAATATTCAACTATGTATAGGTCATCTAGGGGAAACTGTCACTAACCTCAGGATGTGTTGACGGGTGTGGGCGACCTCAGGCTGCTGTATGCCCCTTCAGCTGGAAGCTAATCAAACACACGTGTAAACATGGATATTAATCCTTCAGTGAGGTCACACAGTGATGTAGAAATGACAGGATAGCAGGCATTAAACACACCTGAGTCACAGGTGTTCAGTAACAGGACTTCAGCTGTAATATGCTGCATTTACTGTAAGTCCTTACAAGGTTGTACTGTTTATTAACAGGGTTAGTTTTTATTTATAACAACCCATCTTCTGCTCCGACACACTTTTAATCACAAATGAACAATTTTAAGTGCAGTAATTAAACCAAAAAGAAAATTTAGGACCCAATTACATTAAATCCCGGTCTCATTCCTGTCAAATCTGTTTTCATTTACACCCAGACAAAACTTTGTTTTAGAAGTTATGAAGGGATGTTTCTTGTTTCAAGATTTCTTGAAAAAATTATTTCCACAAAATTAAACACCACAGCAAACACTGATCATATAACAAGTCCTTCAAAGCAAACAATTGAATGCAAATTGCTTAACTGTGCTGTTAAAAAAGGTACAAGTTTCTAAATATTTTTCAAAAAAATGTATAAAATTGACATTCTCAAAGAAAGTCCCCACCCACATCTGCACCAAAAATCTTGGGCAGGTGAAAGCCAAAAAAAGAACTCACATACTGCAAGGTTCCAATATGCAGTCAATGTGTTTGCTTCAGGAAGGCAGTTGTACCTTTTCAAGCAAGAAAGCTGTCACACAAGTTTACAGGCACCATCTTAAATGTCATGTGATGTAGGTCACGTGATGGGCCGTGCACTGCGAACAAACTGTGTAAACAAGCAAGACATAATATAATCCTATGCAAGACAAAAGTTATTATAAAGTGCTGAAAAACTTTATAAAGCTGGAAAAATAGTGGCGGTGAAGAGCAACTTGAGTTGAACACATCTGCAAAATCACACCAACAGAACAAATGGAAAACCATAACAGACATTGCCAGGCTTGCTTTTTACTGTGAATTATAAAACCTTTGCACAGCAATTGGAACAGAACCATTCATTTCAAAAACAAAAGTTCCCAGAAAGAAAATGGTCTTTCTTACGTTTTTGGGATACTGAACTTGGAAGATGTGGTAAAGAGAAAAAGTAACAGCCAGGGCAAGAGAGATGTCCACACTGCCATTATCAAGGAGTATCTCTATTATCCATCTTCACTGTGATGGCCTCACTCTGCAGTGGGTCTTCGTCCCTGCAGTTTGTCAGGACAACAGTTGGTGTTGGAAACACTGGATCCTGTAAAATGTAATCATAGAAAAGCCCTTAAGACTCCTTTGTCAGATAAAATGACCAATTAGGCAAAGTTGAAAATATTTTACCTGGCAGCAGCCAGATCTCTATGTGTAGCCCTGCCCCGTGTTGAGTCTACACAGAGATCTGGAATCGCTGCAGCAGAATCTAAAGAGGGAGGGCTCTCTGGTAGAATATTTTTGAATTGATTGGAGGACGCACAAGGCTGTGCCAGCTGGCACTAGTGGGCTGCTGCCAGTATAGGGCATCCATGGTGAAATGTGAAATCCATGGTGTAGCGTTGCTAGCGAAGGTTCATAGTCAAGGACGGTCAGTGAATGCATCAGGCAGAAGTAAATGAGGAGGATGAGAGCATTGGGTGTGTCCGAATCCAGAGGAAGGATGCTTGTAAGAGCGCATTTTGAGGTCGATGACGTCACAGCGCAGCGACGAGTACTGTCCGAATTCCAAGAATACTCATTTTCGCGTCCTCAAATGCGTCCTCGCTCCACCCACATTTCGAGGATGGGTCTGGTGGATCCTCACAGGAGCAAGGGTATCCCAGCATGCTCTGCCGCTGGACTCGACACTCACAACAATGGCAGATGGAGCGGGAGAGCAGTACAGCTTAAAATGTAAGTTTAAAAAAAAAGCGGTAAAAAAAATGAAAATACGTGTTTGGACATTTTTGGTTTGTTTTTTATCTAAGATCTAATACCGCAAATTTTTTTTCCCATGTAATTTAAGGCTAAAACATGCCCCACCGAAAACTAGCTTGAATGTGTATAGGAAAAACCCACCGTAAACTAGCTTGATCCCAGCATGCTTTGTTAAAAAACAACAGCGGTAGAAAACTAAGCTGAAAGCGGTTCTGTTTATAGACATTTTTCGTTTGTATAAAGTACATATTAAGCAGAAATCAGCGAGAACGAGCTTTTATGGTGGTCCCGTCATAATTCCCGTTTGTGTGTGTGTGTGTTTATTTAGCGAATAAAGCTTCTCATCATTTGTTTTAAGGTTAACACCCCACCGTAAACTTGCTTGAATGTTTAAAGGCAGGGTACGTACGTTTTAAATGTGAAATAACTTTGAAAATGTTTAATTTTGACCATCTGACCCAGTTTTATTTAAAAAAGTAAATAATCTTTAATATTTAAATTTTCTCCTTAAGTCCCTCCCCTGCCCTGTAGAGCTCAGCCAATATTTCTGCAAGCCTAACGCGTTGACCAATAGCACTGCATTACCACCAGGGGCAGCTGTCAATCATCGAGAACAAGCATTATGGGCTTGACACATGGGAGGCGACAAACGACCGCGATCAGCTAAATTTGTCACCGTCGCTTTTATTACCTGATACACGGGAGGCGATCCGCGGCAGCGGCAAAGCCGTCTACGCGTTCTGTTCCATGGCGAAATCGAAACTTCCGTTGTTTTGCTTGGCTGTGTCAGGTTGGAGGGAATTAAGTAGGGATGAGCCGGATACTCGTTTCAGACGAGTATCCGGTACGGATGAAGCATTTTTGACAATACGAGCATGAGACGAGTAAACCTCGTAAATATCTGTAATCGTGCTGAAGGAAAATCCTCATTGGGTAACTGACTGTCTTCACGCTCTGTGATTGGCCAGTCACATAGAGCGCCCGCCCCTCCCTACACACAAAACTCTCTAGCCGGCCAGGAGCGCAGTCCGTCCGGCTCATCCACGCTGACACACACAGACAGTAATGCATCTCGCTGTGATTGCTTCACTGTTGCTCACGTTTCTTCAGTTTTCCCTAGGTTTTCTTCAGCTCGCCTCTTTTTCGGTTGAATATTTAAAGTTGATTTTTTCGTAACTTACTGTACATGGTGCATTTGACAAGACAGAGCTGACGTGCTGCATTAACTCACTACCTCCGCTCCGGTCGGGTTTTTTATTTTTTTTAACTCCATCTCTCTCCCTCTCACCCTCTCTATCTCTCTCTCTCACACACACACCGTAATCAACATTGTTTTGTTTAACTTTGTGTGGGGCAAAATGCCAAGAACTTTAATAAAAAAAAATCAGTTTAATCAAATTAAAATAAAAATATATATATAAAGTTGTCTGGTTCTAGCATTTCATATTTCCTAGTTCCTACTGCATGAGTTCAGATGTATTAATCAATGCACTTAAATATTAATGTTCTGATTTCACTGAACAACTGGTTCTGTAATAGTTCCTTTACTATTGTGATCAAACATATTTAATCTCAGTTCTGAGGCTGCTCTGTAAATAGTTTTCAAATAAACAACACACATAGCAACTTCTGATTAATCCATATCAATTTCAGACTTAAAATAATGTATTAATGTAAACCACACCCGCTTCTGGCTAAACCCCGCCCACTTCCGGGTTATGCCACGCCCATTCCGAGTACAGATACAGATACAGATAATTTAGTTGGTTGAACAGATACAGATACAGATAGTGGTGTACTCGCTCATCCCTAGAATTAAGGTTATTTAAGCGGTTCAGAGTTAAAACAGTGGTAGATATGATGTTTCACAAGGTGCTGCTAGAGTTATGTGAAATCTTACTTCTGATTTTACTATAAAACATAATAACTATCAACTTCTCCATGTTTGCTCGGAGATGTACGGAGCATCCTGTCCGCTCATTGGTCAGTGAATGAAACCTCCGTTGATTGGTCCTCGTCCGAGCGACAGTGATGAAAAGTTGAAAATGTTTCAACTTTATGGGATTGCGTCGCTGGGTTGCATGTGCACGATACGTGCACCAGCGCAAAATTTCACACGCACGTTTTTCGCGTTTCGCTTGGTAGGAGGGAGACCTGGGATTATCGCTTTGTCGCGCATGTCTCATTGAAAATGAATGGAGGAGAGGCGATGTCGCCTCCCGTGTGTCGAGCCCATTAGCCTCACCCCTGCTTTCCACAGGAGCCGTCAGCAGCACGTTACTGCAGCAGCACGTCATAGCTGCTGATAGGAACCGCTGTGGTCAACAGAACCTTTTCCACTGGAGCCGTCAGCAGCGCGAGTCGGCCACGTCTCAGGAGCAGCATGTCGCGGCCTTTACGTGCCGGTTCTATTTTCTACGCGCGACGCCTCTGAAACGGGTCAAGTTCAACATTTTTGGGGAAGGAAAGACAGGAAATCAGACGCGGAAATGGAGAGAAGCTCCCGAGATTTTCAGAATAAAGAAACATACTGCCTTCCGGTTGCTGTACTTTTAAGTTACTAAATTTGCGGCCCGTGAGAAGTTATCACCTAGCTAGCGGTCTCCTTTTTTTTTCAGGTCCGTATTGGCGATTATAAAACGGACAGAACATAAAACACAAACCATGTTGTAGTTTTCTCCTGCTTGTTGTTGTGTTTACTGACGAAGTCACTCGTGTGACTTCGTGCTCAGTCGGTGACAGCTGCTCCCCTGCTGCTTCGCGTCTCGTGGGAAGGGCCAAGCAGCAGTTTACGCGAGCAAGACGTGCTGCTGCAGTAACGTGCTGCTGACGGCTCCCGTGGAAAGCAGGGGTCACTCGGCTTTTAGAGGACAGCTCTGGAGCGACAAAACCCAGAATTACCGAGTCCTCGACAGCCTTCCACATCCCAAAAAACATTTAAAAAGTTTATAAGCCCTTCTTCAAAAGTGGCTGTAAGACGTTTATGGTCGAGTCGAATTTACATTGGAGATTGTTTTACACCATGGAGAGATTTTCGTGATCTACGCGGCATGAAAACGGATGAAGACTTGGCAAAGTATCGTTTGGACAGGTAATATATTTATTGTTTTTTGGATAAATTTACTTAAAATCTTTCTTTCACTGAAATAAGTAATAGAACAAACAAGCTTTATGCTTAGTGTCCTATTGGCTAATGTAGAATTAGCTTGAATGCTAATTACTGTCTGGTTTTGTGGTTTTACCTATGTGACTACTCCATATTAAAATAAAAGGAATGATAATCAGCTCGTGCAGAAATCTGTGAAGGCTGGGGAGAAACATTAGCTGTTGGAAAAAGACGTATCTGACCACAAACATATCCAAAACACGGTCACACTGGCTGTCAGTTAGCCTGATATCACACTATTTAGCCTATTGCAGTCATAGCAATAATCAAGTGCCAAATTCAAGTATTTTATTAGGTTTGCCTGTTTTGAAAAAGCAAATCATATTAAAATGAGTGATGAGCAGCTCATGTTGAACTCAGTTGGCTGAGGAGATACTTTACCAATTACAATTAGATTTGTTTTAGCAGGAAAATGTAAAAATTTAATGTGATTTGCATGCTCTACATGCTACAGTCAATTATTTAGTAGTTTCTCTGACCTTCATTTCATTATATCTTACAATAACATAGATGTGTAAACTAAGAGATGGCTATATAACGTAATATTGTCCGCAAGGCAGCGTGCCAATAGTCAGACACACCTGGATTAATCAGTTTGTCCAATGATGTAAGACAGGAAATAAAAGAGCTGTGCTTAATTCAGGAAATAGTGAAGTTGTGCACAAAGCTCAGAAAGCACAAGTTTGTTTAAAAAAAAATAGCACAGCCCCACCAAAAATATTTTTCACCAGCCGCCACTGCGAAGAAGCAATGCTCTGGTTTTGACTCGGCTTTTCCTGCCCGTGCACATTAGGAGGTGTGGCTTTCGGCTCTTTCAGGAAGGGCGGGGGAGTGAGCAACAGCTGTTCAAATTTAAAAATCTCCTCCTCTTCACCCTGCCGGTGTCATCTTACGGACCCTGCCTTTAATACGAAAAAACCCACCGTAAAAGAGCTTGCATCTTATTTAATCATGTAATGAACGCCAAAAATAACGAAAACTAAGTTTGATTTTTATTTAAGTAAATTTTTAAGAAACCACATCACTGATTTAATGTTTTTAATTTCATTTTAGGCGGAAAAAACACTCACCGTGAACTAGCTTGACTGTCTTTCATCGCTAATATATATATTTTTGTGCTAGGGACATCAGAACAAACCACCACCCTCATCAAATTGAGAGGGCAAAACGAGGCCCTCTTCACTGGTGCTAAAAGTTCTGCCACGGTGGCATGGAGGTACAAGAGTAAATCCATTACACATTATATGAGCATATTATTTCCATCTATGTTCTGCTGTGAAAAGTACAGTTTATCATTATTTTATTAATGCAATTGACATGTTTTCTTGCTTCTATTGTTCTCTTTATCATCTATTTAGGATGATCCTGGAGAAGATGGGCCTGCAGGGGAAGATCACCCCTTTGCAGGCCAAAGAAAATGGGACAATCTAAAAACTAAGTACAAAGTATGTACACGTGCGGTACAGAACACAATTTTCATCTCCCATGTTGATAAATTAAAATATTGTTTATTGCATGTTTTATCAACTATGATTTATAATCTGACTTTGTTCCTCTATTCCTCTCTATTCTCATCCAGAACCAGTACCTTTAAGGAGCATCTGTCATTTCATTATGCCCACAGTGTTCTCTGTTGTTAAATGGCACTAAAGCCTTGTAATTCTAATTCCCTTTGTCTTTAGGACTGCAAGTATCCAGGGTCAGGAGTGGGAGTCAGCGGAAAGCCCACTGCTGAAACCTGGCCCTGGTTTGGTTTCATGGAAGAGGTGTTGGGACAGAGGCCTTCCCCTAGTCCTCCGGTTCTGATTGCCTCCATCCCTGAGGACACACCAGGGCCAAGTGCAGCAGTGGGTGAGACAGAGGAGAGGGAGAGTGGTGAGAGGCAGCCGACAACGTCCGGGAGAAAAAGAAAGAGCAGCAGGGATGAGGAACTCCTTGACAAGGATGAGCTGGATACTCGCTTCAGACAAGTAACCGGTGCGGATAAAGCATTTTTGATGAATACGAGCATGAAACAAGTAAACCTCGTAAATATCGTGCTGAAGGAAAATCCTCATTGGGTAACTGACTGTCTTCACACTCTGTGATTGGCCAGTCAAATAGAGCGCCCGCTAGGGATGTGACAAAATATCGTTTGGCGAAAACTCGCGATACAAAACGTAACGAAATGCATCGAGGTAAAAAAAATGGACCACGAAATTAGACTAGGCGGCACTGCTGCATGATTTGTGTAGTAGTAGGGCAGGCATACAGTCTATGGTGACAGGCTGATAGCACCATCTCTGCTGACAAAGCAGGGTAAAACTAAAAATAAATAAATAAAAACATCCAAGGAACGGTGCAGTGCGTCGTGACGTCAAGTCACAGCGCATGTTGTAACAACAACACTGCAGGCTACAGCGAGCGAACATATATTAGCATTAGCACCAAGTTGGTGCCACCAACTGCCTTGCCCCGAAAGAGCAGAACAATGGAGTCAAATGAGGTCGAAATTGAGGATGCTCCTCCTGGATACAGGTCATCTGTCTGGCAGTATTTTGGCTTTCCGGTTAAAAAAGACAATGACGGCAATAGAGTTACGGAAAAGACCAAGACTGTGTGTAAGCTATGCTATGCTGTCATTCCGTACACCACCTCCAACACAACAAACATGAACCACCACCTTCAACGTTACCATAAAAATGTGAAGACGGCCTTGGCGAAAACGAGCCTACCGAAAGGACAGCTGACCATGAAACAAGCACTGACACCAACTCTACCTCCGTCAAGTCCACGTGCAAAACAGATAACCCGGCTCATTGGTGAGTTCATAGCGGACTACATGGCTCCATTTTACATAGAAGAGAACAGAAAATTCATCCAAATGTTCAAGGTGCTGGAGCCCAAGTTTAAGATGCCATGCCGGGGTCATTTTTCAGAGAAGGTAATCCCGGAAATTTACAATGAAACGAAACAAAGCGTGAAAGAGTGTCTAAAAAATGCCGACCGCGTCGCTCTGACCACCGACAGCTGGACCTCGCGTGCAACACAGAGTTATGTCACCATTACGGCACAAGTCATCATTGAAAAATGGGAGAGTAAAAGCTTTGTGGTGCAAACTCGTGAGCTAAGTGAAAGTCATACTGGTGTTAACATAGCTCAAGTGCTGAGAAATCCACTGAGTGAGTGGGAGCTAACAAGGCCACACACAACCATTGCTTGTGTCACAGACAACGCGAACAACATGGACATTGCTGTGAGAGAGAGCGGTCTCCACCCTCACATCAAGTGCTTGGCGCATGTTGTGAATCTGGCCAGTAAGAGAGGCTTGGCTGTATCCCGCGTTGCGCGCCTTCTTGGTCGTGTGCGAAGAATAACTACATTTTTTCACAAGAGCACCACGGCCACCGCAGTCCTGACCAACAAGCAAACCCAGTTAGAACTGCCTCGGCATAAACTCATCACCGATGTCCAGACCAGGTGGAACAGCACGTAGGAAATGCTGGCGCGCTACCTGGAGCAGCAAGCAGCTGTCTCAGCAGCGTTGAGCTGCCCAGAAATCCGAAGGAATGCGAGAGAAATCGACACTCTGGATCACACTGATGTATCAGATGTAGAAGACATAGTGAAACTGCTTAAGCCACTGAAGACGGCCACAACTGTTGTCTGTGATGAAAAAGAGCCCACTGTTTCACTGATAATGCCACTGAAGTACATGATCGAGCAAAGCATGTCACCAAACGGAAATGACACACAGACCATCGCCAACATGAAATCTTACTCGACATCTCGGACCGATGCACCGGGGACTGTAATGACGTGCTGCAGGAGTGCACAGCGCTTGACCCACGATTCAGAAGCCTGTCCCATCTGAATGATGAACAACGTGAGTCCATCTATGCCCGAATATGTGAAAAAGCTTCAGCACTTCATGAGCAGCGCAACCAGGTAGGCTAACTTTTATTGGGGGAAAAAAGAGGTTTCCTGCTGCATGTGTGTAACTGCATGTATGTGCAGGCCAGAGTCTGAAAACTTATTTCTCATGTTTTTTTATTAGTCCATCAGAGAGAGAGAGAATGAGAGTGAAGGACAGAAATGTTTAACTAGTTTTTCTATTTTATTTATTTTCAGACCAGTTACACTGATGAAAGAACCACTAGGGCCAGTGCTTCAACATCAGAGGCAGCAGCAGAGCAGGCCAGGGTCATGGTTGAGGCAGCACAGGGAGCAGAGCAGAGCCAGGAAGAGCCAGTAGAAGGAGAAAGGCAGATGCAGGATGCAACACAGCCTCCCCCACCAAAGAAGACAGTGTTGGAAGACCTCCTTGGGAGCTCCTACACTACTGTTGAGACAGTGCAGACCAGCAGAGGGATTGAAATGGAGATACTCTCCTACAGGAGTGGGATTCCCATCCCACTCAACAGAAGTCCACTTGAGTGGAAAGTTAATGCTTATGCTTACCCCATACTTGCCCCCCTTGCCAAAGCCTACCTTGGCATTCCTGCTACATCAGTGCCCAGTGAGCGTGTCTTGTCCACAGCAGGAGACATTGTGTCTGCTCAAAGATCACTGATTACACCAGAACATGTTGATATGTTAGATTTTTTGAAGAAGAACCAGTCCTGAGATAAGATAATAAAGGCCCATAGCAGCACTAAGGGTGTTCCTGTTTGTGTTAGGCCTGTTAGGCCTTGTGTTTCCCTGTGTGCCACTGGGAAAAATAAACAAGTAGTTATTATACAGTAATATTTTTTCCTTTTTTTTTCTTATCTGATATCGTATCGTGACGTATCGTTTCGTGACTCAGACATACGTATCAAGGTGCATCGTATCGTGAGTTTAATAGATCGTCCCATTCCTAGCGCCCGCCCCTCCCTACACACAAAACTCTCTAGCCGGCCGGGAGCTCAGTCCGTCCGGCTCATCCACGCACACACACACACACACACACACACACACACACACACACACACACACAGACAGTAACGGATCTCGCTGTGCTTGCTTCACTGTTGCTCACGTTTCTTCAGTTTTCCCTAGGTTTTCTTCAGCTCGCCTCTTTTTCGGTTGAATATTTAAAGTTAATGTTTTCGTAACTTACGTGGTGCTTTTGACAAGACAGAGCTGACGTGCTGCATCAGTCACTCACTACCTCGTTCCGGTCGGATTTTTTATTTTTTTTAACTCCATCTGTCTCCCTCTCACCCTCTCTATCTCTCTCAGACACACACACACCTTAATCAACATTGTTTTGTTTAACTTTGTGTGGGGCAAAATGCCAAGAATGTTAAGAAAAAATCAGTTTAATCAAATTAAAATAAAAAAAAACAAAGTTGTGTCTGGTTCTAGCATTTCACATTTCCTAGTTCCTAAACATGACACGGAGATGACTTGTTAATGCCACAATGTCACACCTCTGCCCTCTACAATTAAAAGGGCCCTGTAAGCATTGTTACACAAAGCCAGGATTTATTCAGATTAGGCATAAGATCTTTAAACAATAAAAAGCTTCTTCAAAGCACTAAAAGTAAGTCTAAATGTGACAACCTCTCTTCAAAAAATGAATCAGTTCTCCAAAGAACCTTAAACAGCAAGAAAAGGTTCTTCAACTGAAAAGGGTTCTCCAGGGCACTCAGTGCTTCAGAGAACTTATAAAGAACCACTTTTATTTAGAGTGAACCTACACACATCTTTTCATTTTTTTATTATCAAAATTATTGACATGGGAAAAATTATCATAAGAGTTAGATATTTTGAGAACGATTCATTTTCGATTTATTGGCCAGCCCTACTTGCAATATAAAAGTATTTTGGAGTTATGGTATTCTGTTCTTGCACACAAAAGTGCTCATATATCTTTTTTTCATGAAGGCTCGTGTTGATACTTTAGATGATGCCATGAGGGGGATGCAGCTTGGCCTCATGATAGGCTGTGAAGGTGGTGCACAAGGTGTAGGCAGTTGTGGTGAGGTAGACCATTGTCCTGCACAACATTAAAGATGTGACACACAGCTTTGCAGTGGTGGGTCAGTCAGGGCCAGCAAAGCCTTCTCTGCTGGTCTAAACGTACTCAAAAGCATAAATGTCTTTTTTTTTCCTTTGGTAAATATTTTTAAATAAAAAAATGTTTACTGGTCTATTTTCTCTATATCCTATTTTACCCACTTGGCCGCACTGCTTCCAGTGTTAAAATACCAAGGTTGGGTGTTATCCAATCAGATTTAAGCTAGCTTGTGTTTCCAGGCAGATTAAGTCTGCCCTAGCCCTTCAGAATCAATCGAGAAGCCCGCTGTCCGCTGTAAGTGAACAGAGACGATCCAGTTGCGATAGCCAATCAGCTCACGAGTCAGCGTGGCCCGGGCCAGCTAGCTGGCCTCACGCAAAAGTTGACATGAACGCATCCTGTGATTGGATAAGCAGTAGTTAGAACTTTTCTAGCGGCATGAAGCAAAATATCAAAACTAAACACAGAGATTTGTACCTATAGGCAGCTTTCGGTGTGTTTTTGAACACATGATGGCTGAAAGAGGAGAAGAGACAGACTTGGTTGCAGATGAACTTGCCACACCATTTTCCAGACGGACCTTTCAGGAAAAAATGGATCTTGTGAGAACAGGTCGTCCGACTCCAACGCTAGCTGGCTTGTCCCAGCAGGGGAAAGGATTTGTTCGTCATTTTCAGGCTAGCAACTATGAACGGTACCCACGGCTAACAGCTTCAGAGAACCGCTGCAGGTTATTCTGCTGGGAATGCCCGTTGCTCGCATCAGATGGATTTGGTAGCATTAAAGCGCGTTAAAACGTACGCCAGAAACACGACCGGGCAGACACGACTTTCAGCCTCCATGTCCATAGAAAAGGATCCACTCATGGACCTGAAGCGCACAGGTAAACTGTACAGAGCCACTGAGGTTTTCCTCAGGAAAGACAGAAGGATGGATTTTATTTTCTAATGAGCAGGAGAGAAGGAGATCCATGCTGGACAATTATGATGGTGAGTAGAAACATTTCATTAGTATTTTTTAATGTTTTGCCATTTTATTTTGTTAATAATCAATAAATGGTAACGAAATAAAATGTCTAACTGAAATTATTCTGTGTTCTGTTTCTATGCAATTTATATTGTGTTTGACGTGGTGTAAGCTGCTGCGTCAACATTGTTTTGCGGTTCAATTTTCTCCAAAACAATTGCAAATAATGTGTTTGCTTTACTTATTTATTTTATTGTCTCATCTCTTAAACCCGTCTTTCATTTTTGAGATTCGACAGTATCTGTGGTCTTAGTTTCCTACTCTCAATTGGGAATGCGAGTTTGATTTTAAAGGCTCCGGAAATTACTTGTCTTGACCAGCCATTGGTGTGTGTGTGTGTGTGTGTGTGTGTGGTTTCTTCAGCTGTGATGTCCTATTGATGGTATTTTAAGGTGTATTAAATTAGATTGGACTGAACAGGAAATCACTGAAGGCCCAGGGGTGGAACGCACCGCCTGCCACTGCAGCTTTGCCATGCTTATGGGCGTCATCTGTGTATGTAAACATGTTTATTTCGACTGTGAAAATGGTATTTTTAACATGGGAGCCAATGAGGATCTGCTCACTTCTGCTGCCAGCCCCTAGTGGATGAATGTGAAACTGCAATTTTAGCCACTCCTTGTTGGCTTCATATTTGCTGCAGAATAGTGGGGGTCTAACTCGAAATAATATGGAATAATTATGAAGGCTGAGCTTGACTCATATCGTAGAATTAATACAGCCTGGAAACGTGAATTAGATGTGGAAGCCCATGCTGTAGTTCTTTTTTTAAACACAGAGCAGTTTTGTTTACCTGTTTTCAAAACTGCTCTGTGTTTTAAAAAAGAACTACAGCATGGAATTAGATACGACAAAGCAAGAACACACCTAAGATGTGGAATCCATGTAGCATTCGTTCTATTTTCAATTTAAAAGAAAAAATCAAAAAAGAAAAATTGATTTATTATTTTTTTAAATAAATTTAAAAATAACAAAAACTTTGTGCTTTTCGTATATTACATTTTAGTCTGAGATCAAATATAAGAAATGGAAAAACGGTCGCAGAACCGAATTTGATTTTAATACAATGGAATAGAGCTCCGGACCCCACGTGACTCTCAGTTAGTAGACGCCATTTTGGCTGGTAAAAAAAGGTAAACAAACACATGAACGTGAACGGGATCAGCTTGGATTTTACTTCGTCGGAGTTTACTTCACTCTTTAAAACCGAAGAAATCGTTTTATATAGTCAGAAATTAAATAGACTAAACATCGCCGACCCTTACCGTGCCCCTGGGATACTTTTTAAAAACACCAGAAGCTGTCGGAGCGAACTTCTTACCAGACCTGGCCGGGGAACCCCTTGGGATTTCCCCGGAGGAGCTGGCCCTAGTGGCTGGGGGAGGGAAGTCTGGGCCTCTCGACGCTACTGCCCCCGCAACCCGACTCCGGATAAGCGGATGAAAATGGATGGATGGATGGATGGACAAATAACAGATTTACATGTAAGTAGTTTAAATAGAGTGCTGTGCTGTTTGAATGTATAAACTGAACACCAAGAAAAATCACTAGTCTGATTTTTTTCCGTGAATAAAATAAAAATGTCAGGCAGGAGCGTCTCAGGATCTGTCTGAGATCTGTCTCGGTGAGACGGATAATAGCAATCCAAAGTGCTTTTTATGTGTGATCTGACAATTGATCAACCATTGCTTAAAAGTGAAATACAGCTTAGCCGGTTAATTGCTGTCATCATAAAACACGTAAACGGCAGCACGCAGAACTCACGAGGCAACGTTTTACGTGATGTTTACTTGTTGCTGTGATTAATAAGACAGAAAAAGCCCCGCCAAAATAAGTTTAGGAAGCCCACTAAGAATCGTAATAAAAGCGTTTAAAATAAATACCACACACAGTTGAGGAAACGTTGGTTTAAGTACCTGATGTGAAGTGGTCGCTGCATAAGTGAAAACCTTTACTCTCGGGATCCCACAGCTTCATTTTAGCCCGGTCACTAGCGCGTTTTATTACAACGATCCAACGTTTGTGACGCTCCGGATCTTGGGGAATCCTGTAGATGGCTCATCCCTTGACTTGTCCCTGTCTGTTCTGGCATCCTGGGGCACAACAGGAATCGACCATATTTCCCGTGTGAGATTTATGACTACAAATAGTCCAGCTGCGGGCTTCTGCCTGCCAAAATGGTGCCGTTTCGATTTGAACTGTTGCATGCTGGGAGAAGTGACGTCAACTCCTGGAGCTCTATAGAATAGAATGGAATAGAATAGCCTTTTATTGTCATTGTACAAAGTACAACGAAATTGGAGTGCCACTCCCATTGGTGCAAAATCCCCCCCCCCCCAAAAAAGAAGAATATAAACATAAAAATATATAAAAACACAGTCAAAGGGTGTACAAAAGCAGCCGAATAAATATAGTAACAGCATATGGTGTATCATTTGTTATTGCACAAGATCAGTGTATATGTACACAGTTCCTCTCCAGTTGTTTTTGTATTTATGTACAATGGTGATTGCCCTGGCAAAGAAACTATCCCTGAATCCCGTGTCCGGCCCAGCCCGAGGGGGTGGAGCCCCAGCCCGACCCGGTCCGAGAAGGTTTTCAGGATTCTCTGGTCCGACCCGAGCCCGACTTTTTTTTAACCTTTCATAATGTTTTAGCGTGAGAGAATGCTCAGCGCTCTAATTATCTGTGGGAAACGTTCTGCAGTAAAAAAGAAAAGAAAGAAAAGACAGAAAAACAGAATCAATGCAGCTTTTTTCCCCAACAGAGCGTATTTTTCGAGCGGCAGATGAAATTTACAAACACTATATGAATTGGATGTGTAGCTGCCAGCTGAGCAGCTGATGGCAATGACCCTTAATTGGCTCACAGAATTAATATAAGCCACACCCTTCCAGAGAAAACTGCTTGGGTTAAGTTGTTTGTAGAGAATTTAACACTGTTTGAAGTATTGAAATGATGTCTTTAGCCTACATTCACCTCAGCTGCACATTGCCGACTGCATCCCCACGTAAGTTTTGCTGTATTGACGCTTTTGTTTGGGTTTGACACTCTGTAGTCATTGTTTGTTTTTCTTGTCCATCACCGAGTCAAATCTACAGATAAAGCAGCTTTAAGGAATTATTGTTTTGTTTAGCACCCTTGGCCAGCGGAGCAAGGTAAATGTGAGAATATAATCGATTTCTGTTATGACATTGAAGTTGTGTTCACCTTTTATTTATGCTTCGTGTATCACTACACAGTTTTCATGGTGCAACTCATGGAGTGAAGTCCAAGGCATTGGACCAGAGAAACTAATAAAAGTTTATGCACCCGTCGAGGCTCTCCGTTCTTTTCTTCATGGTGCCAGGGGCAGCTACAGGATGCGTTTGTAAATTTAATCTGCTCTGAAAATGCGCTCTTGTGCAATTAGAAAAAAAAGCAGCATTCAAATTTTCTAACTGCAGAGCGCATTTTCAGAGCGGCACATTAAATAAAGGCCCCCAATTAATATAGCGTTTTTAAATTTAATCTGCCGCTCTGAAAATGCGCTCTCCAGTTAGAAACAACCAGCAATGAATGCTGTATTTTTTTAACTGCAGAGCGAATTCATTCACAGAAAAATAGAATGCTGCCGTTTTCATGAGAATGAACGAATGGTTTCTGACATCACAGTGGACATAAAATGGCGTATTAGAATAGGGGCACATGTTTCAATCAGCAGTTAGAGAATTCGTTTATATCGGCGCATTTATAAACCACACACACCTTAACTGAGCTAACGGTGCCGGTGCGTGAGAAGCAGGCAGGTGCTGCTGCGTTCAAGTGTTTCAGTTTTTTTTTCATGAATTCAATTAAAAATAAAGGCGCCCGTGTCCGTGTCCGAGGTAATTACACAGTCGTTGGCCCAAAGCCCAGCCCGAGGGCCGGGCCGACCCGCGGGCCTAGGGCTCCAGTGCAGGGCTCTAAGCAGTTCAAACAGATGGTTGCTGGGGTGGCAGTAGTCCTTGATGATGTTGCCAGCTCTGCTGAGGTACCGAGAGTTTGCAATGTCCTCCAGGCTCGGCAGAGAGCAGCCAGTGGTCTTCTGGGCTGTATGTATGACCCTCTGCAGCACCTTCCTGTCTGCAGCTGAGCACCCTGCATACCATGTTGTTATGCCGTATGCTAGGACGCTCTCCATGGTGGCTCTGTAAAATGTCACCAACAGCCTCTCCTCCAAGTTCCTCCTGAGCACTCTCAGGAAGTGGAGACACTGCTGGGCCTTTTTTTTACCACCACCGTGGTATTTGCAGTCCAGGAGAGGTCATTGGATATCTGCACTCCCAGAAACCTCATGGAGTGTACCCTCTCCACACAGTTCCCGTGGAAGTAAAGTGGGGCCGGGTCTGCTCTACCTTTCCTGAAGTCCAGTACAAGTTCTTTAGTTTTTGTGATGTTCAGTTGAAGGTTGTTTACTGAGTACCATTTAGTCAGTCTGTTGACCTCATCCCTGTAGTCCGACTCATACCCCCTTGAGATAAGTCCAACCACAGTGGTGTCGTCCGGAAACTTTAAGATGGTGTTTGAGGGATTGGTCAGGGAGCAGTCAGATGTGTAGCGTGTAAACAATAGGGGACTCAGAACACATCCTTGTGGAGACCCGGTGCTGAGTGTGATGGTGTTGGACAGGTGGGGGCCAAGTCTGACAGACTGTGGTCTGTTTGTCAGGAAGTCCTTAAACCAGAGGCAAATGGAGGTAGAAAGTCCCAAGTGAGACAGTTTCTGGACCAGGATCTCCAGGATGATGTAATTGAATGCTGAGCTGAAGTCCAGGAAGAGCATTCTCACGTAGCTTCCTCGGTGCTCCAGGTGACTCAGGGTAGTGTGGAGCGCTATGGTAATAGCGTCCTCGGTGGAATGGTTTGCCCTGTATGCAAATTGATGGGAGTCCAGAGTGGGAGGCAGACAGGTCTGAAAGCAGGCGAAAAAGCAGTTTAAATCCTCAGCCAGCGAGGCATCAGTCCTAGATGTCGCCTGGTTATTGCTTCTGTAGTTTGTAATGTGATTAATCCCCTGCCACATCTTTCTGGGGTCGTTGTCAGCAAAGTGATCTTCAATCTTCCTCCTGTAGGTAGCCTTGGCTTCCCTGATGCTTCTGTTCAGCTCCGCCCTGGCCGCCCTGTACGCTGCCCTGTCCCCTGACTTGAAGGCAGTGTTGTGGCTTTTTAGAAGGGATTGCACTTCGTTGTTCATCCACGGTTTTAGATTTTGAAACATCCTGACTAGGGCTGCTCAATTAATCGAATTTTAATCACGATTACGATCTGAGTTTTGAACGATTATACAAAACAAAACAAGCCGATTATTTGCTCCTCCCGCCTGCGCTGCCCCGAGTTCCAAATGAAGCGCTCCTCCCACAGTGTTGCCAACTTAGCGACTTTGACGCTATTTCTAACAGCTTTTCAGACCCCCTTCTTGACTTTTTAAATCTAAAAAGTACCTAGCGAACACCTCAGAAACATCTCTGGTAACCCTTAGCTACTTTCTGGATAACTGTCGTCGACATTTCCTGCAGGTTAGCTAAACACTCCGCCTGCTCTCCGGACCGTTCTTCAGGACATTAGGAAAGGGAATGATGTAGTGATGTGTCAGTCGCTAAAGAAACAGCTCTCGGAGCCGGCTCCTTGTTGGAGTAACCAGAGTGAGTGACACACACACCGCACCTGCGGGCTCCTGAGCCGATAAAAACGGCTAAATGTGCGCGTGCAGCGTGCTAAACACACGTGCAGCTTGCCCTGATTGCTGTGAGACCGGGTTGGGGAGTGCAGCTGTGGTTGGGACAATTATTACATTAACTGATGGACGACTTGTAAATAAATAGTTTATAAATAAGGTAGAAATAAGTTCCTCACGCTGATAACTAATAACTAATCTCTCTGAGGACACGGTGCTAGTGCACTCTCCTACAGCACCTTGACACGACTCAATAAATGTTATACAACATTTTGTGAACATCAATTTATTTGCATGTATTTGTTATAAATGCCACTGTATAATTCTTGTTGTCAGTAATTGCAAGATATTGGTATTTGGGTCTGTACTGGTTAGACTTAAATGAGTTAAACCAAGGTCTATAGCCCTTGGGTCATAAACTATGAGCTATAAGTATATTGGTCTTTTTATACTGGGAACCAGGAGTTATTTTAGTGATCATCTTGTTTCTTATTTATTTTTGCCCTGATTGTGCCCTGAGCTATTTTATGACTGAATAAAAACAAATAAAATCAACATAAATTGAAAAATCGTCCTAAATAATCGTGATCTCAATTTCAGTCACCATAATCGTGATTATTATTTTTGCCATAATCGAGCAGCCCTAATCCTGACCCTTTTGTTGACAGTGACATTGTCAACACAGTTTCTGATGTAGGAGAGTGCAGTATCTGTGTTGTGTTGTGGCTGGAGAATAAATCCCATACGGTTGTAGCAAAGCAGTCCTGCAGTTGAGACAGGGCTCCTTCAGGCCAGGTTTTTGTTGTCTTTGTCTGGGGCTTTGTTTTCCTCAGCAGGGGGGTGTAGGTGTAGGTGGGAGTGAAGGACATGCAGAGGTGGTCAGATCCAGCCAGGTGAGGTAGGGGTGTTGCTCTGTAAGCATGTCTGATCTTTGAGTAAACATGGTCCAGAGTGTTTTCCCCTTGGGCGACGTAATGATGAATGTAATTTTTCATTTGTCAGGTTTGTGTCAACAGGTGTTGTACCGATGTGAGTATCCCGGACAGAATGTAACCTTGAGTCAGGAGCACACACCGGGTAGGAAGATTCACTCCACTCTCCCTGGATTTCAGCTAACTAGACGTAGAATTATGTTTTTATTTTGTGAAATAACTGAATTATGGGTGTCGTTACTTTATTGTTCAGTCTCTGGGTGACAACAGAAAGTGCTATGTTTTATCCAGGTGCTATCGGTCCCTTTAGCTGTGAACACATCTGGTCCTTTGCTGCCTAACTGACTGTCTGCTAGCAAACACCAACATCCAAGCTAGGCACTAATCAGAGGGAGACGTGATTTTACACTAATGGCACATGTTTCACTCGTGATTCTGTGTGGCGGTTTAAGATAAAGCTAACTCGCAGGCAGTAGGCTGTAGCTAACGTTAGCTAACTTTTTTGTGCATGTGTACAAGTCATGTGACGTAATCCTCCACTTGCTGAATAATTATTTTATTCTGCTAACTTTGCAAGGACTGTTTATGACGAAGGTGGCAGAGGAAACATCTTTGGTTTATGTCAGAGCAGACGGAGAGCGAGACAGCAGTCTACGAGGGGCCTTGTGTGTGTGTGTGTGTGTGTGTGTGAGAGAGAGAGAGAGAGAGAGAGAGAGAGAGAGAGAGAGAGAGAGAGAGAAGAGAGAGAGAGAGAGAGAGAGAGAGAGAGAGAGAGAGAGAGAGAGAGAGAGAGAGAGAGAGAGAGAGAGAGAGAGAGAGAGAGAGAGAGAGAGAGAGAGAGAGAGAGAGAGAGAGAGAGAGAGAGAGAGAGAGAGAGAGAGAAGCATTTATTATATTGCTGAAGTAATCTTGTAGCTTTATCAGCTTTAAGTTGATTAATCATACATGATTAGATTATTTGTCACCACTACCTTTATTCTAAAAGCATTGAGGCGTGTGTTTTCGTGCCTTGTGACACGTTAAGGCTACCTCACACATGATCTCAGATCCATCCTGACCTCCTGCTGCATCCTGGGAGTCTACAAGGATCCTTCCTCCCAGTAGCACCTTTGTAACCATCAGTGGCGGCTGGCCAGTAGAGGGCGATAGGGCGCCGCCCTCCCAGTTTTCCCCAGTGTTTTTAATTTTTATTTAAAAAAAAAAATAAAATTAACAATAATCACATTTTCTAAGTTAATTGTGTGTTTTGTAACAAAAATAAATCATATATATATATATCTATCTATATTGGTCAGAAGCTCTCTGCCGAGCTCTGCCGAGCGGTGGAGGTGACAGAAAGGCTGTGGGCTGTGTTTCAATCGCCCAAACAGGACGGGACCAGCTGTCATTTGCTGACAAGAAAATCAAACGGTAGGAATGGGAATGTATCCAATCAGCGTCGACGTTGTTTCAGAAGCATGATGGGCGATAGAGCTACCGCCAAAGGTTTCGTTGGTGTTCGGTAGAACTCGGCAGAACTCGGCAGAGTCGTTTTTGGTCGTGACGCAGATGTAACATGGACGCCGCCGGTGACTACAACCAGCATGGATACCGGATCTCAGCTGCCACTGAATTCAGTTCGGTCTGTTCTCCAGCATCCGTTCGAGAGGAGAACTATGGTGGAAAAACTTACTAATGTCAGAGAGCTTGGACCAGATCAGCCAGCAAAGATAAGCCAGCAGGAGAAGGAGAGGTAAACTGTACACACGACGCTTCTCCCGAAATTGGTACACCAGGAACCAGTGGCTAGCTGGATGCAATCACGCTAATGCGCTATTTTGCTTTCCGTGTTTGTTATTCAAAACGACTGGGACAGATGAGGCATGGATGAGTCAGGAGTTACAGACATGAAACATTTTTCAGAGAAGGTGAAGAAACACGAGTCATTCCGGGCACACATGGACAACAACACGGTGAAGCTAGCCATGCTAGGCAGAGCTAACATTGCCATGCAGCTCGACGAGGGAAACGGAAGAAACGGAGGACGTTTGGACAGGGAGAACAGCAGCTGGGTGCAGAGGTAAGCTGTACATTACATTTCTGTAAACAAGACAATCAGAATCAGAAATCCTTGGTTGTCCCACAAACCGGGACATTTGTTTAATAACATGTTTAATGTGCAATAACTGTAAAAACTCATTTCAACACACATATTTATTATACATATTTAATCACGTAAATGTGTATTTCTTGTAAATTTGTACATACATCAATCTGATTCCAGTTTACTTGTTACACTTCTGCTGCAGCAAACAAATTTCCCAGCTTTTGGGACAATTAAACATTTCTGATTCTCAATGAGATGTTTTTACCTCAAATGTAAAAACATCTAATTGAGACTCAGAAATGTTTTATTGTCCCAAAAACTGGGAAATATGACATTTGTAAGAGGATACTGATGACATTATTTCCTATGAAAGTGTTTCCTATGTACTTATCTGTTGTTTTTTTATTTGTCTACTTTAAAGAGGATTAAGACTTTCCTTGAGGAACACCATGACACAGGATGGGCTGAATGCTCTTGCCATGCTCTCCATGGAAAAAAAGCTCGTCACAAACATTCCTGACTTCAATAAAAAGGTCATCGAGAGCTTTGCCACTCAGAAGTACAGAAGGGCAAAATTTCTGTACAAATGAGGTAACACACACACACACACACACACACACACACACACACACACACACACACACACACACACACACACACACACACACACACACACACACAAATGCATCCACTTGATCTTTGTATAAAGTTGACCTTGGCACAACACTCCAGAAATATTTAACAGTGTAAATTTCTGGCATTTTGTCTAAGTGGTGTTTACTACCATTACTGTAACAGTGACCTGCTCATAATTTTTGGTGTTCACTCAAATGTTGAAATTAAACAAAATGTTTTTGTTACTTGCCTCTTGCATTGCCTATTTACCATTTATGGTCATGTTATTTTATGTGCAATTTAATGCAGTATTTTTCAACCTTGGTCTGCAAGGCAGCGTGCCAATAGTCAGACACACCTGGATGAATCAGTTTGTCCAATGATGTAAGACAGGAAATAAAAGAGCTGTGCTTGATTCAGGAAATAGTGAAGTTGTGCACAAAGCTCAGAAAGCACAAGTTTGTTTAAAAATAAAAAATAGCACAGCCCCACCAAAAATATTTTTCACCTGCCGCCACTGATCACCATCACCCTCCCAACATAACCATCCCAGTTTTTATTTGTAGTTTCTATGTACTGTACAGTTGTAGTCTGTTTTATACTTTTACTTTTGTGTGGATGTGTTTGTTTTTACAAATAAAGGCATTTAAAATTTTATTTCTACTTTTTGGTTGAATGAAAGTAATTTTAAATCTAGATGTTCCAGAGTTATGAAAAATTCTGGGATTAACATTATTCATGTATTAATATTTATCTGCTTCCTATAATCAATTCATGTTTTCCATCTAGCTACATACATGTTTTACTAGAATAAAGCTTTCAGCTGTTTTCAGGAGTGTTAAACTGTCTCAGGCACATCTGGATGTGAACACACAGCTTGTACAGTTTAAAGTAATAAATGGAGTCCATTTCTCAAAACCCTGTTTAGCTAAAAACTTTCCCTCAATGTCAGACCGTGTGACAGATGTCAAATTTCACCTCTCTTTCCAACCTTGCACAAATTTAGAGTTCGGCTTTGAGTTCCCTCCTCGCTAGACTCTGTAGAAGACTCCCTTACCTCCGTTTACATCCTTATGGCCTAATGCTTTCTTGAAGGTAGAAAAGATCGCTCTAATGGCAAAGGGTAGTTGAGCAAAAGGCACGGACAGGTGGACACCTCAAATCTATACCTGCCAGTATGGTGAATATTTAATCATTTTTTCTCTTTTTTCTTTCTTTATTTGTTCATTTATTCAAATTTTTCATGTTTGAAGGGGTTAATCATATTGTGGGATCTTGTGACAAATAAATTAAAAATACATAAATAAATCAGTCATCAGTGCATCTGTTCTCTTTGTCTTCACTCTCCTCCTCAGCAGGATTTAGACCCAGCTCAGTTTTGTATTGGCCTGCTCCACAGGAGGGGTGGGGGCAGGAGGAGGAGAGAGGAGACAATAGGGGAGGGTGAAGGCAGAGCAGAAGGGTGGGGCTTGATGTACCAAGGGAAAAGCCTTTTAAGAGACAGGAAGAGGGGGTGCAGCTGGAAAGGAAAAGGCTGATGTCATCTTCATAAAAGGAGGAGCATGAGGGGGAGATCAGCAAAGGGTGTGTTTTATGCTTTATGTACCATTAGTGCTTCCGTGTAAAACGGCTGAAGAGCCTTTAGTCTGGAGTGGATCCATTCTGAGATGGAGAATGGAGCTTGAATAGGACTCAGAAGACCTGAAAAGGTAAAACAATTACTACATTTCTAGATTTGCAGACACAAGTTGTGAGCCAGTGCAATGATTCTCCGATAAAACAATGAAGGGACTTGTGTGTATCTCTTTCCTGGCGTCTTGGGTCAGCTAGAAACAAATGTGCTTCAAATGACATGCATGCTTTTATTTGTTAAATTATTCTGTTTTGCAGTTGTTTGACAGCCTATGCATTCAACGATGCTGAGAGACACTAGGGAGGAGGGGCTGGGAGGGGCTGGCTGGTCTGCTATCAAACAGGACCCATGCTGAGATAATTCACACCTAGTAGCAGAAAAGCGGTCTTCCTTTCAGCTCAAAATATCTGGTATTGTGAGCTACATGTATTTGCTTCTTTCATACACTTTGATGCAGTAATGTAGCTCAAATGTAGCTTCATGAAATATTTACATCTCAGGCATTCAGACATTCAAGAATATCTCACAGTCCCATCTGTCCTTTTAATATGATAATTAAAAAAAGCGTTAATTGTATTTGACGAGTTTTGAAAGTGTCATACTAAACAAAATGTCACAGTTTGCTAGTGAGGTAGGACCCAGATGCTGGACGATTAAAAAAGATCCAGGAAGCAGCCGGGGTCTGGAGTAGAACGAGGACGATCGTCATGAGACTGAGCTGGGCTTAAATACACGAGAATACACAGGATATTATGCTGATTTGCCGGGACAGTGTATCTTGTAAAACGGCCATAAAGGTTTTCTACATAATGTAGTGAGGTGTACTCTTTTACGCTGAGCGCTGGATATCAGCTTTTCTCTGGGATGGATGCCTATAATTAACATGCTGTCTGTTTATGAATACATTAAAATAGCCTTAAACTATTTTGCAGCTGCTAGCATGATAAGTAAAAGGCCTGTATTTGATATAGAGTCCTGGAACGCCCTAAGGCACTTTACAACACAATCAGTCATTCACCCATTCACTCACACATTCACACAATGGTGGTGATGAGCTACGATGCAGCTACAGCTGCCCTGGGGTTCACTGACAGAGGCTAGACTGACGTACACAGGTGCCATCGGTCCCTCTGAACGCCACCGGCAGGCAAGGTGGCTAAAGTCTCGCCCAAGGACACGACGACAGGGACAGACTGACAGGGACTCGAACGTGCAACTTTCCGATTACAGGGAGAGTACTTGACTCCTGCGCCCCCGTTGCCCATATATAAAAAGGAACACTGTTTTTGTGACTATAAATCTTAACAGCGTGTACTCTGGTCACAAGCAGTGTGTCCAAATCCAGGGGTAGGTTGCTTGTGAGGACGTGTCCTCACTGGTCCACCAAAGTCGGGTCCTTGTAATGTAATGTAGGTCCTGTCACTTAGCAACCGTGATGGCAGCTAACAGACAAAGGAATGGTGCTTACACATTAGCGTCGGTGTGACCAGGAACGGGACCGATACGGAAATGGATCTTGGTGTCACGCATGGGTCAGATATGCATTTTCCAGTCGGAGGAGACTGAGGTGATGCTCACTCCTTACCCCTGCCACGTGGACCTCAAGGAACAAACCATCCACCCTGCTCAGTGGTCTCCTTTCCTGGAGAGGTCACCTGTCAGGACAGTGGGATGGTTAAATCACATTATATAAAACATTCATTGTAGATAAAACAATTGTAGTTATATTTAAAGTGAAGAAATAATTTTATGAGACAGAATAAGATTCTTTAATAAAGTTAGAAAGAGTCTTGTCTTCTGCAGAAGACCTGTACCTAAATATGATGGGGGAAGCAGCTTCCACGGCCAGAACAGAAGTGTTGTTGGAGAACCTAACTGTGGATGTTTTTGTCCTATTGAATACATTACCTGCAATTTTTCTGAGATCTTTCATTGAAGTTGAAGTCACTTCCCTGTGTAAACTGGTGCTTGGCCAGCAGCATGCTTTGAAGCTACTAGGTACTTCTGACCGCCAGAATATGGTGGTCCTGAACACACAGCAAGGTGCTGCGGAAGACCACTGCCGCAGTGAACGAACTCTGGTCGTTCTTCTCAGTCGATTATGTCCACGCTCAGTTGCTATAGTCTGGATGTTAGCACTTCGATAGACACCCTCCTCATGGGAAGGATTCCTCCATATCTTGTCTCTTTGGCTATGGTCCGCGACATGCGGAGCTGGATGACAAATGTGACAGACCTTCAAACTCACCAAGCTTTCTCTTTGGGCAGTGCTATTCCACTTCGAGTTGACCCCGATGCTAGAGAACTAGCTTTTACCATCAACTTCCCGATCCTGTCCTCGGGTGATATCTAGCGACTGAAGGACGTAATCAATGTTGGTAGCTGGGTGGATGATGCTCATGCGCCACTGGTGGTCGTGCTTCATGACAACACACCAGACGTCCTTCTGTTCCTGACCTGCACGTGTATTCTTTCACTCGCGATCTTCACTTTCTTTGTCCGGCGACCCCTTTTCTGCTCTACAAAACCCAGTGCTTGGGTGGTGTTGGGGCGATGATGAAGGATTCTAAATGTCCTATCACATTCAGCCCCCGATCGCACGTCTTACAGACTACCATGATTAGCACTGGTCTGTGCTGGCTAGTCAACACTTTATTAATAATTTAAAGTTTTAAAATCTCTTTAGTGGGTTTGAAACAAAGGGATCTCCCTTAAATCATCTTCACGAGAAGGAGCAATACACGAGTGGTGCAGTATCAAAGTACAATAAAGTACAAGAGGTAACCTCTACGCATTATCTGCACAGGCCTAGCCTTAAAAAAAATAAAGACAACCTGACCTGTTGTAATGTGAACTACTTAAAGGTTTGTTTGGGCAAAGTTTCCAGCCGACATGGCGGAGAAAGAAAAGGCTGGTTGTGACCCAAGCCTTGAACAAGACAGTGCTTTATGTAAAAAAGAAATTGAAAAAAGAGAAGTATAAAAGAGAAAATAAATAAGCTCAGCAAGGTAAAACAAACTATCATTGTACTGGAAAAGGAACAGGGTTTGAATGGGGTGGAGGCAGAATTTAAAAGGTTCGTAAAATTGCATGAACAAACTTTTTAGATCCATAAAAAAATTAACAGCTCTACTACCTGCTGAAGAAGCTCAAAGGCATGTAATTTGGTATCATGCTAAGATGTTATATTTCCAAGACTTTGTGGTTGCTACCCAAAAAATACTGGTTCAATATCAAGCTTCTTCAGATTTGGCTACGCTAAATACAGGGATGGGTGAAACTGAAGAGATACAAATTGATCAGGTTGTGGAATCAACAGCTAAGGATTATGCAGGTTATGAGC